GATCCTATTGCGATTGGTCTTGCATAAAGCTACACTGTCAGGAATTTACAAAGAGTTACACCAGGCAGTTCACCTGTCTGGTTGTGTAATTAGTTGCACAATCAGATGCACATCTAACCAAGCAACTAACCACACCACTGCATTCTCAAAACTACTTCTTGGATATGACTTTCACCTTGACACAAATTTCACAATGGTTCCTGCAATCTCAAATTATGCAGGCATAGCTACACAACAGGATTTTAGCCAATAAGTTATCATAGTAAAATATACCTGAGCAGATTGCCATATTAAAACAACTGGGGCAATTTTAAAAAATTAAAACACATCAGAGAAGGGAAAAAGTGGTAACTTGCTAAATAAAAATATTTTTTCTGTTAGCAGAAAGACAAAAGAGAGGGAAACAGTCTCGCTTCCCTTGGAATGAAGATCAAGGATGATCAAGTTTATTTTTTTTAATTGTAAAAACTGCTAATCACATATTACTGTATAAATCAGTATGTGGAACAAATGAAGTACAAGAACTGACAAAAGATATTTGCATTTATTTAATTTATTTAAAACATTTTACCCCGCCTTTCTCCTTTAAAATGGACTCAAGACGACTTACATAATTGAAAGACAATATTAAAAATGGAGACAATTTACCTTTACATGTAGATTTAAAAAGAGGTGGCAGTAAAATGTGTTGACTACAACTGAATATCAAGCTGAATCCGCAAATATCATCTCACCTTGCTAACTGTCTCCGTTCAAGAACAATTTTTGTAGTTTCTCTTACCCTTTAAATTTTATTCCATCTTAGCATGATAAGGAGTCTTCCAGAACCTAAAAGCTTGTCTTATTTGTATTTTAAGTAATCCAGTAAAGGCTGTACTCAAGCCAGAACTTCTACAGATGGATTGCACAGCTGCATTTTCTGTTGGCTAAATCCAATTTATTTATATATCCACTTGGTCTGAGGATACTGGAAAGTTTATTTACTTACTCTATATACTCGAGTATAAGTCTAGTTTTTCAGCACATTTTTTTTTGCTGAAAAAGCACCCTCTCAGCTTATACTCGAGTCAGTGTCAAAATTACATGTTCTCCCCTGCAGTGCAGGTGTTCTCTGGACTCCCCCACTCATCTACGGGTGCCTGCAGCCTCTCTGGGTGGTCTGATGACCCGGGTTAAGTACACTGCATTTCCGCTTCCAGGACATTCCCATCCTCCTCCTTCTGCATATTCTATGTACCCACCTTCCTCCTCCCACCTTCTTCCTCCATCCTCCATCTCCCTCCATCTTGTTACACAGCAGCAGAGTAGTAGATAAGCGCAGCATCCAGTACGAGTCCCCCCCTCCGCAGGCAGTGGATTGTGTCTCGCAGCTCAGAAGGGCAGTATCTTCAAAAACATTTAACCTACTGATGCCTCAATTAATGTAATTTTATTGGTATCTATTTTTATTTTTGAAATTTACCAGTAGCTGCTGCATTTTTCACCCTCAGCTTATACTCAAGTCAGTACGTTTTCCCAGTTTTTTGTGGTAAATTTGGGTGCCTCAGCTTATATTCGGGTCAGCTTATACTCGAGTATATACGGTACTTACTTGAAGTGTTTACATGTCATCCAACTGATGATGCTCTTAGAGCAGTACACAAATATAAAATAAAAACAATCCATCAAAATCACAAGTTTCACAATCAAAAAAAGTAAATGAGCTGAAATGGCATCAAAGCATTATGGAACAAGAATGGTTAAAATTACTTAAGAGCCAGGAATAAAAGTTAAACCATGGAAAGCAAACATAAAAATCAAGGACCGGATGCCTCCCAAAAAAGGAGGATTCTTGATGCCTTCCTTCTGAGTAGTCCTAATGGGAAAGCTCAGCAGAGCTTTCTTGGCTAGGGTGGCTGGTAGCATCCAGTTCATGGGGGCAGTGGATCCACTCCAGGTTTTAATCTGAGATGACACAAATGACACTTTGATTTTAGTCATTGCAGCAGGAACACAAAGAACTTAGGCACACTTAGGACTTCTTACAAGTGAAAAAAAAGTCAAGAATGAGCTCTATGTACAGTTCTTGCTATGTCCAAGGTAGTAGAAGGCGCAAAGGTTCACCATTGAGTCCATCTTTGTTGACCCCCGGGCTGAACATGGGATAGAGACACTCAGTGAAGATGTCTGAAAAGGTGTAGATGTGGTCCATGAGGTCAGCGTCATAGAAGGAGACCTGTCCCCCTTCATAATCTAGGTACACGCCCACTTTCTGAGGTTTGACCTTGAGAGACAGCTGCTTGGAAGGAGAATCAAGAGCCTTGTATTCGTTGCCATTCCGCAGCCAGATGGCCCAGAATCCATTGCTGGGCTTGAGCGTCACTTTGGCTTCCTTCCTGTTGACTGACTCTTTGGCCACACCAATGTCCCAGCTGGTTTTATCCCCCACTTCTACTTCCCAATAATGACGTCCTGAGGTAAACTCTTGGGCACCCAGCACACACACAGACTTGCTGAACCTCTCGGGCCCATCAGGGACTTCCTCCTCAGGATTGTCCTCCAGATATACACTATCAAGATCCTTTGAGAGGACAAGGTTAGGGTGGTTGGTGGCAGGATCCAAGGTTATAAGACAGGGAGCTGTTGGAATTGAAGCAGCAGGCAGTTAACATACATTTGTCACAAAAAGGAGGTAAACCAATCTCTAGCCTTCCAGGTATTTTGGGTTTCACTTGCCAGAAGCCTTAGCCAGCATAACCAATAGTCGTTTCACTACACCTGCCAGTATTCAGCAGCAATTCCCCCAGCTAGAATTCTGGAAACTAGACAAAAAATCCAAGTTCTCAAAGGAATTTCAAGATATTCACCTATTCTATTCGCGAAAGCTTTCACGGCGGTGATCTAATGGTTGTTGTGGGGTTTTTTGGGCTCTTTGGCCGTGTTCTGAAAGTGGAGTATTTATGGCTGTGAGATAGGCTTTTGTCCTATTCTGGCGATTAGCGTTTCTTGTTGTGGGTGTGTTGTTGTGATAAGGAGACATTATCCATCACTGTGATTGATCACTCCACTCCCAAGCAAACTACACCAGAGCACAGAGTGCTGTCCTCTGAAGATGCCAGCCACAGAGACTGGCGAAATGTTAGGAAGAACAACCTTCAGAACACGGCCAAAGAGCCCAAAAAAACCCACAACAACCATATTCACCTATTCTTTACCAAGGCTCTTTCTCCAGTGGCAGCAATTAAAAAGGGACATGAGTAAAGCTTTCTAAGCTCCAAGGGAACTGCAAAGCACTAGAGGACAGTAGTCTCTATCTTCATTAAGGTCTGTACAGTCGCTATTAAAAAAAACACCTTACCAAACCCCTAATGCCTTGCATTTGCCATGGAGGTTTGGAAACTCAACCCATATTATTTTCCATGATTTAATGGCTTTCACTGTAAAGAGAGACTTGACAAAGAACAGGTTATATTCTGAAAAAGATAGAAGTAAAAAAATTCCAAAAATCCTATGTCTAGTCAGAGATTCTGAGACTTGAACCTCAAAACATTGAGAAGAACAAAGTGGTTCTCTACCATGGCCTGCCCTAGAGGAATCAGTTGAATATTTTTAGTTAAATATTTCCTTTAAAATACAACACGTATTGCAAGGCATCAGATAGCTGGCAAGCCCAGTGCTTTGCAAACAGCGAGCAGAAAAAGGCCTGAACTGTGCAACAAAGTACAAGGCTTTGATCTAGCACAGGTAGACCACCTGGTCAGCACCAGTGTTCAGGATAGCTACAGGACGAAGAGAATCCGCTATACAAAAGGTGGAAAACAATGTTTGGAGCAGGAGAAAGTTATTTATATTTATCTTGCCCTTTCTCCAAGGAGCTAAGGACAAGATACAGTTGGCCTATACACACATACAGTGGTGCCTCACTTATCGACATTAATTCATTCCAGTGAAATCGCTGTAGAGCGAAAACGTCGTAAAGCGAAAATAAAAAACCCATTGAAACACATTAAAACCTGGTTAATGAGTTCCAGTGGGCTAAAAACTCACCATCCAGCGAAGATCCTCCATACGGCAGCCATTTTCGGTGCCTGTATAGGGAGGAATCCTTCCCAAGCACAGCGGGGGACCATTTTGAGCACCCGGTGGCCATTTTGAAAACCCAACTATCAGCTATTTTGATCGTCGTAATGCGGAGAATCGGTTCCCGAAGCAGGGAACCGATCTTTGCAAAGCAAAAAAATCAATTTAAAACATTGTCGTGAAGCGGATTCATCGTAATGTGGGGTAATCGTTAAGCGGAGCACGACTGTACTTGTGTTCTCACAGTCCTCTGTGGCAGGTTGGCCTGAGAGACAATGGCCATCTGAAGGTCACCAGGATTCCTGCAGATTTGTAGATTCAACTTCTTTTGCAAGAGGCGGATGACTGATTTTGTGGGAGGAACAATGATTCCACATGGGGCTGTCCAGGGTGCTGAACCTATTATGGGGGTTCAGCTTCTATATTTTTAATAGCTTCTGTAAAGTTCATACCCATACCAGGGGCAAATTCACTGAGCTAACAAAATCAGGGTCATCGGCCACCATCCCCACATCTTGTCCCTCTTAGCCAGAGCAGATAAGAACTGCAGTCTAGAACAGTGGTTCTTAACCTTTGTTACTCAGGTTTTTTTGAACTGCAACTCCCAGAAACCCCAACCAGCACAGCTGGTGGTGAAGGCTTCTTGGAGTTGCAGTCCAAAAACACCTGAGTCACCCAAGGTTAAGAACCAGTGGTCGAGAACATATGTAAAATCCATGCAGCTGAAAGGATGAGTGGAGATTTGGAATTGGTTCTCCCTGTTTTCAGTCCCATACTCTACCCCCTAGGCAGCACTACCTCCTACTAGGAAACAATGAGCCACATCACACATGTGGAGCAGTGGTTAACATGCAGTATTTCATTCTAAGCTTCTGCTTACAACCTGCGTTTGATCCCAACAGGGTCAAGGTAGCCAGCTCAGGGTTGAGTCAGCCTTCCATTCTTCTGAGATTGGCAAACTGAGTATCCAGCTTGCTGGGCGGGCAAAGTGTTCCTTGCGTAATTATGTTGTAAACTACCCAGAGAGTGCTTTAGCACTATGATGCAGTATACAAGTCGATACCCAGGAGGTTTTCGTGATATGTAACACTATACGAATATCACAGAACATTTAAGGCTGCTCTATAGTGACCGTAAATACTCTTGTTACTTACAAGGTCTCAGATATGGCAACATATCTCTCCAGACAATGTATTGAATTGGGCCCTTATACTGCCCCAAGTTGAAACCACGGGAAACTGGAGGCAAAGTTGGCCACTTTTCCGCACTGAGACAGTATCTGTAAAGATAAACGACAAAATCTTGACGGTAAAAAGAAACAAACATGTGCTTGGCTTTCAGCTCATCTTTATCTCCATCTGGTGGCCAGTTCTGGGAATGCTGCAGTCCACAACAACAGCCTCAGATGTGAAAGTAGGGTGGAAATAATCTGTAGCCCTCTCGTTATACCCGAGTTCATAGTTGCTAAGGCCAAGGTATGAAAGGAGTTTTCATACAGCTTCTGGAGGTCATTACCTCTCCATCCTAAGTCTAAGCAATTTTTTAATCAACATCTTCAGATACTACAAGGTCTAAATCAGGCTTGTCCAACCTGTGGCCCGAGGGCCGCGTGCAGCCCAGGTCAGCTCATAATGCGGCCCAGTGCAATTTTTTTTATTTTGAAAGAAATTCCAAAGTTTCAAGTTACACTGCCGGCTCTTACAGCCGGAATGTGGCCGGGGCATGTCACAACAGTAGAGGGGGAGAGAGGGAAGGAAGGAGTGGGAGGGGAGGGGACAGGGGGGGCTGCGTGACTGTATTGCGCCATCCCCATCAATAGGTGGACCCCGTCCTGGCCCCATAAAGCCGCCGGAGTCGAAGCTGGCAGCCTCTGCTGTCTGAGATTGCAGCTGCCAGTAAGCGCGCTTGGAGCGGGGCTGCGGAGGATGGCTAGGGCTGCCCCCCCATGCGGCCCAAACCGCATGTATGTGTGGCCCAAACCAAATTTTCATCTTCTATTGTGGCCCAGGGAAGGTGAAAGGTTGGACACCCCTGGTCTAAATGATCGTTTGATATGTGTTTCAAACTAAAAATTACTAGTTGCTACAGATAAATTTATGTGGAGAGACAGACCCTGTGCAAAGGGGGTTAACACCAGTTCTCAGCCAAAAAAATTATGCAAGAAAAAGCAAACAGAATGAAGCTATGAAACAGATATTCCATGAGTAAATCAAAAGGTCAGTAAATACAAGGTCTACTTACTTCTCCGTGAAGGCTTTAATGTCCTGGGGAAGCAAAAAGCAGAAATTAGTAGAAGACGACAGACTGTCAATAGTATATGGAACTCTTGGTTACTTGTGATAGTACAGCAATTTTAAAATCCCTATTGTTTGTGTTCTTAAAGTTTCAGCGTTGTTTATAGCAAAAGCAGGCAACTTCAGAAGCCTTTTTTGGCCGAAATCAAGGGGGAATGGAACCAGATGTGGCTTAGAAACTCAGTTCCCCTTTTGAACAATTTGGGTCTGGGGTTGTTAAATAACCCAGGTACCCTCTTGACCAGGTGCATCGCCATTCCTGGATGCTTCCAGTAGCTGTGATGTACCCCATTTTGCTGGAACAATGGAGGGCCAGAGGACTGTACCTTGCCCACCTAGGCTTATAGAAATTATAAAATGATTCCTACGCCAATGTCTTCTGAAACATAAATGTAGGGCAAGAGAAGACAAAGGGGACTGCGATTTCTATCCAGTCTTTTCCACTTTTCACCAAAGGCATGCCCTCCGGGTATTTTATAGTACAACGTCTAGGATTCGGGACTTTTAGGTGACACTGGCTGGAGCAGATGGGAGTTGAAATCCAAAATACTGTATTTGGGGAGTTCTGGGTTGAGGACGGCTGCTCTATTCCTGGACTAAGGCTTTTCAAAGTCTCACAGTGTGTCTTTTGCATCAGGATCCCCCTGCGTTCTCTCAGGACGCACACAGGAAAACACAGAACTCTCTCAGCCTGAAGCCAATTCAATCCAGGCTACCTAAAGGATCATATCTCCCCATATGAGCCTTCTTGATGTTTAAGATCATCAGGGGAGGCCTTCCTCTTGGTCCCACTGTTGATGCGGAGAGCTGTGGCAGCTTCCAGGTTACAGAATGCTCTCCCTCGGTAGATCAGGGTAGCACCTCCCCTTTTATCCTTCCATCAACAGCCGAAGACCCATCTTTTCAGGCAGGCATTTCACAATCATCATTGAATCCCTGAAACCTTTTTGTGAAGTAAAGACAGTTTTTAATGTTTACTTGCTCTTTGTTATTCCATTGAAATTTAATTAGTGTATCGTTTAATTGGGCTTTTTTATGTTTAACATATTCTCTATTCTTTTTTAATATTGTGAGCCGCCTTGGGTCCCCTGATCATGGGTCCCCTGATCAGGAGACAGGCAGCCTATAAAGAAAACCAACAATAAAACAAACAACCCAGATTTACAATGGGCAACATCCTGTTGGCACAGTTTGTTGTTGTTTAGTCGTTAAGTCATGTCCAACTCTTCGTGACCCCATGGACCGGAACACACCAGGCCCTCCTCTCTTCCACTGCCTCCCGGAGTTGGGTCACATTCATGTTGGTCGCTTCGATGACCCTCTCCAACCCTCTCGTCCTCTATCGTCCCCTTCTCCTCTTGCCTTCACACTTTCCCAACATCAGGGTCTTTTCCAGGGAGTCTTCTATTCTCATGAGATGGCCAAAGCATTGGAGCCTCAGCTTCATGACCCAGTGTAAATCGGTCTGCGCATTGCCTAATGATAGGGCCAGCCTGGCATCCCTGAACTCCAAAGGAGGATTTGAAGCCGCCACAGATGCACCGAGGGAAGCACCAACCTTAAGGAATATCTCAGGGTCTTGCTGCTCCTCCAGCCGAGCTTTGATCTTCACCAGTTGTTCCTCAGCCAAGCGCATTTGCTCTTGCCTGTTGCGGTGGTTCGTCTCTAGTTCGCTAAGGAGGAGCTCTTCCTCATGGCGGATGTCCCTTCTCATGGCCGCCTCCTTCTCCAGGAGCCATTGGTGAAGCTCGGCGAATTGGGTTGAGAGGTGCTGCTCCAGTCGGAGCCGTTGAGCCTTGGAAGGAGCAGTTGCAGAAGAGACGAGAAGAAGGTGGGGAGGGACAGAGGCTCAGGGTGGTTCGTCTCTAGTTCGCTAAGGAGGAGCTCTTCCTCATGGCGGATGTCCCTTCTCATGGCCGCCTCCTTCTCCAGGAGCCATTGGTGAAGCTCGGCGAATTGGGTTGAGAGGTGCTGCTCCAGTCGGAGCCGTTGAGCCTTGGAAGGAGCAGTTGCAGAAGAGACGAGAAGAAGGTGGGGAGGGACAGAGGCTCAGTTTCATGGAAAGGAAAAGTTCTTCCTGGTAAATACCTTTGTCCTGTAATATATGCAGTTTTGCCCATGCTTTCCACTAATATACATATTTCCTGTGCACGCTTCTTCATTAAAGGAAGCATAGGTTTTATTTGATTTTTTTTTCCAAGGCATAATTTGATCTTAACTAAAGATGGGCATGATCCAAACGATGAACCAGAAAAAAACAACAAATTGGGCTGGTCCATTATTCAGTTCAGGGATCCCATTTTGCCAAAGCAAAGAAAGCACCAAACTTTTTTTTTTTGCCCCCATTGCCTCCCTACGTGCTCCACTTCAGGTGACAGATGAGCAGATGTGCAGAGACAGCAAGCCGTCTTCCCTTCCCAGAACCAGCCTGCTCTCTCTGCGCATGCACGCATCTGTTAGCTGGGCGGCGGGCGCATGTGTAGAGATTGTGGGTCCAGCTCATGTAAAAGAAGCCACTTCACTGTCTCTGATTAGGGTGGCAGTAGAGGAGGGGGAAGAGGAGTCAGCAGCATCAGGACCAAGGAGGGAGGTGATGGAGGTAGTGCGAAGGGGGGGTCCCATCCCCCCCAGCACAATCCCCCCCAAAAAAAACCACAAACCAGTTCACTTGGGGGGGTGATGGTTCATGGCCCATGACTGGCTACCCATGAACCATGAAGCATTATTAACCACTAGTTTTCTGCTTTGTGTCCTTCTAAGATTCTTAACCTTTAGAAACGTGTGGTGTGGGGAAATTGTATGCTTTTTCAATGTATATAGCAGACACTGTTTTGGGCACAGGTCAGTTTCCAGTAAGGATGATCATTAACCTGCTTTGGTATCTAAGATAATTATCTGTCTCTGAGTTGATTAACTTGTCTGTGTATTTGGATGTTATCTGTGTCTGTTTACTATTAGCTGTCTGTTTACCAGCCTGTCTATTGATTCTGGCTGTGTATTCAGGATATTAACCTGCCTATGTTTAGAATGGTTACTGGTTAACTAGTGCAAAGGTAGTAGAGTACAATAATAAAGGGGGCGTGGCAAAGGAGGAGGAGGAGAGTTCTCACTGAACAGCATGCTAGAGAACACGCTGTTTAGTCCATCCGGATCCTGCCCTGAAACACACACCCGAGATCCCTACAATAAGTTTCATCTGCAGATCCCAACAGTGTGGATTTTGGAGTGCAACGGTATCCCTCTTATTGTATACGTTCATTAGGTAAGTTCATACAGAAGTGCATGACCAAAGTTGTCCTCCATCCTTACATACTATGGACAAAATGTTCAAAAATAATAATAAATCTGAAAGATGCTGACAATTTACAATTAACTGCATTTTACGGGCCAACTGCCATCAGACAGAAGGTAATCTTTCTGTGGAAGTTGGCAGCTGCTGTACAGCACATTTCCCAACAGCACGGATAAACAAAGGCCTGCTTTTCTCTCCAGTTGCATGATGAAGCACGCTGAGGGGAGAAGTGGACCTAACGCTTGGCTGGCCCCATGAATTGGAGAACAGGCCCTCGGTTGTCACTTGTCATGGATGCTAAACTGCCTGAAATTCTCCTTTCTACACAAATATTACAGGAAGAGGATTCCCCTGCTTCGTTCCATGTGGCCAGCTTACTCCAAGCAGAGCTAAGGAGGTCAGCAACAGGAAAGACGGTAAGAACTCACTGTAATTTCTGGAACTTTCTGGGCACTTTGCTCTTGTAGGGCTTTTGCAGCCTGGACTTTGGCTTCCAGCTCGGTTTGAGAAGCTGTTAAGAGACCCTAGAAAGAAGCACATAGACACCACTAGGTATAAAAACAAATTCTATTAGCTTTCTTGCCGTTGTGACTCCTCTACACGTGCCTAGTGATGACTTCACGGTGGGCATGGAGGCTGGACTTTTGAGGACAGCCATCAGAAAAAGTTACATAGATCTGGAGGCAGACAGTCCCTCATTCAGACCATATCTCTTCAAACGCAACAGCCAGGCATGCGTTGTTCCACATTGCCACTTGTTTAGACAGACCTCTCTTCCTGGAACCATACTCCTCCATTATTGGGGGATGGGGGGGAGAGAATGAAAGAACTTAAGGATATAAGAAGTCACACTGGATGACACCCAAGGCCTATCTGATCTAAAAGATTAGAGGAGAACCACGTAGTCACTTCCCGTTGAGTTGCGTAATTTGAGCCCCAACGGGGAGAGAATTCTAGTTTTATTGACAAATGCCAATTCAAGCTGCTGCTTATGTAATTGCTATCCATACACTTCGAGAGGAGCAACCAACCCCGCCCACCTCTGTCATCACTCTTTCCACATGGAAAACAATGCATCTGAAGAGCAGAAGCTCTTCCTTGTGTTTAAGCTGTACCGTAAGAAAAGAGAGATCTAAGCTGGATTCTAACTTGAATCAAGGTTCCACAAGCATGGGGAACATGTGGTCTCCTGTAACCCTGGCCCTTGTCTGATACACACACACACACACACACACACACACACACACACACACACACACACACACACACACACACACACACACACACACACAC